TCACGCGATCGTTTCTACCAATAAGATCGATTCATATCAATCGTTTCTACCAAGTCACGATCGATTCACGTGATCGTTTCTACCAATAAGATCGATTCACACGATCGTTTCTACCAGTCAGGTCGATTCACGCGATCGTTTCTACCAATAAGATCGATTCACACGATCGTTTCTACCAGTCAGGTCGATTCACGCGATCGTTTCTACCAATAAGATCGATTCACGCGATCGTTTCTACCAGTCAGGTCGATTCACACGATCGTTTCTACCAATCAGATCGATTCACGTGATCGTTTCTACCAATCAGATCGATCCACATGGTTGTTTCTACTTACCAGTCACGATCAAATATACAATCATTGAATGAACAGAAGTGGAATGACATTTTCTCCATATATGCATAACGTATATACTGTTCACAATATTATTGTTTATGTCAGTTTGTAATGGACAGTTTTAACTGTGGGTTAACGTTCCCCTCATAAACACCGAACACAATAAGGAATTTAAGAAGGGAATTTCAATGTTGCATCCTACACTAAGAGTACAAACTGATCATTATGATCCAGGAGATAGTTAAGATGAATAGTATATTTATATATGAATAGTAATTGGTGTGAAATTATTATTCATGGTAGAGTTAACTTCTCATAAGTCAGAAGCCAAAAGCTCAGAGGTTGAGAAATGTCTAAAAAAATGAAAATAAATTGTTCTGACTATCGATATTGGCATTGAAGTTGACTATATCAAATAAAATTGGCGCATTTTAGTGTCGTCCTTTGACCCTGCCCAAATGGTTGCCAAAGAAAAGTCACGCCATCACGCTTCCAGACTGCGTGGAGGTAGAAGTACTACTACCTCCATGCTTGAATTGAACATATTTGAATTGGACGTATTTTGTTTCATTGTCACGATAATCTCCATGCTTTCATCAGTTTCATTAGTGCCCAGATTATGATCCACTAAAGTAATGGTCTGTGATTTAATATTCCCAATCTGGGTCGATTTTGCTTCAGTCATGGCCCCCAATTTTTCCAGTGTCATGGTTGATGCAGGGACATAACGGACATAATTACTGAACAGCCGTTTGTTCATTAAACGATGCAGTTATGCTTTCTCTGCATTTTGGTTATTTTGTATTATTTACAGCAGCCAAACAGTAGAATAGTAAAGTACATTTTCAGTCGCGTTTTGAAGGGCGACAGTCTTCGCGCTGTGTATGTGCGAAATTTGTGTTGATAAACATTGATTTTCCCATAATCCAATGCGCTCTTCTAATGGAAATCACAAGTATGAGATTTTGATTCTGGAGCGACTTGCACTAATTACCGCCGGTGACTCTTCGATACCTTACAATAACTTAAAATACCTAATTAAAGTTTGGTAATGTCTCAGTTTATACTCGTTGATCTGCGCAACAGTCAAAGTCGCCATCTTTGTTTATATGAGACCCATATATCTTGCGCATGCGTGGCGCGACGACTACCGTCCTTTATTGTGTTTTGGTAAGAAAGCTTTCGGCGTTGGTGGCGAAACTTGTTTTGGGGTACGTATTTTATTGATCGCCTTGTTTCCTGTTTTACGTTTAATAATTAATGAACTTTGGTTCGAGCTAATTATACATTATAGTAGTAAAAATGAATTTAATAATTAGGTTAGCTTTTCAGTTATGTTAAATATATTCTCATTTTCTTGTAATGAATTCATATTGATGCTTGATGCTGGAATCCCACCTATTCACAAACGTACTTTTACACTTTTCAAACGGCAATAATAAACTCAGAGTAAGAATACATTCACAGAAATATCAACATATTTTATATTTGAATTGACTACATGTGTTTCATATCTGAAAATAACAGCAACTCCATAATGGATGATCTTCTTCACACAATGAAAAAGGTAATTTATACTTTATAGCCCGCTGTTTAATGGCACCAACAATAACAAAATTACAACTCAAGTTACTGTGGGTGGTGCAACATCACCACCAAGCAGAAAGTATTCCTGGGCCGAGCGATGACGCTACAAGTAATGGAACTTGTTTCACGTGATCTGATAGCAGGATATGATTGGCCGCCTCTCGTCCAGTGGAAACAGCCCGTTCCATGAGGGCGCTTGGATACGACGTCCTAAGCCAATCACCGGCGAGCATCAAGTTAGATATCCCACAACTCTTCGCAAAATGCGACATTGGGCGATGTCTATTTGACCCCGCCTGGAAAGAGGGGAAATTTTCATAGGAAAATACATTCACAGCTAAAATTTTGAAGTTCTTCTCAATAATTTCTGGAAAGATCTCCATTGCCGTTGGGGAGATAATGCCCCAGACTTCACTGTCTGAAACAGGTCCGTATTTCCAAGTGTAAAGGTGAAACTCCATTATCGATCCACCGGTTTTATTGGCCCAGATGGCAGACTCGCGTTCCAGTAAATGATACTGCGCGATTAGGTTAATCGGGTAGTGTTCAGGGCATTGTAATATATCAGGGGCATTCGGGATCTGTTTATCGAACCATATTCGAATCACTTTATACGGAGGTGCAATTGCAAGCCCGTCAATGCCACCCATGAACCGCTGTATGTTATTATGAACCAGTGCGTTATTCACGTATCGGTTAGCGCTGGATTTCATGATGTCTCGAACTCCACCGAAGTCGGTTGCTAACACGAAATAATCGTAGTTTTTGTCATCTGCTGAAATGATGTTACCAGTTTTGTTATCAAACACAAAACCCTCAACAGTAGAGTTCAGCTCGATTCTGTTGGAACAAAAAAAAACAAAGTAAAATTAATTGATCGTGCGGATCTAGAACGATTTAAACACAGTGAAAATAACGTATTTTTGAGCTGAAGTGTTTGCTGCAAAAAAAAAGTTTAAAAACCGCTCACGGCTGCTTACATTACTCCAAATGACTTGAGTTTCTTCACCCATGGCTCAAGAATCCCAGTAAAATGATCAACTGTCGTCACTTCACGATAATCAGCCTATGAGCAAACGATAAATTACAAGTCAGAAATTGTGTATAAAACATTATTCGTCATGTAATAAGGGAACTTTATTTTTGATTGACAAATCGAAGCCATATCGATGCCGTAAACGTCATTCATTTTACTAGCTTACGTCAGAGAACCACTTTGTTGGAGGGCGCCGCTGTCGGAACCACACAAACATATACGGATTTATACGGGACCTTATTCGAATATTACCTTTGGGTTATTGAGGAAGTAAATTTGCATGTACATCAACATTTCTGCCGCGCTGAGAGTTTCTCTTTCGTTCATTGTCACGGACAAGGACGGTTGCATTATAATGTCATAGAAATTGGTATTCACGTGATATATCTGAGCCCACTCAGCTGTGAAAAAAACACGGAGAGACGGAATTTTGAAAGTTTATAATTCTTGTATTGTTAAAAAAAAAATACAAACTATGTACTATGTGAAGGATTACATTGTTGTTGCTATAGTGATACCAAAATTGAAAATATATCTCACCTAAAGAAATATTATCGTGTCTCTCATACACCTCGTCGTAGTTGAACCAAAACAAGTCTGGTATTGCCAGAACTGTTGTCAAAGCTTGCCAAAAATTAATGTTCAGACTGCGATATACAATGGCTGAAATTAAATGATATAATATTGATAATATTATACAGAATGCATTAAATAGGACATCCATTCATAATCGAACTATTAAAAAAATACTTTAAATATATGGTTTATTGGTTTGACCATGAAACTAAGAAATGCCTTCCTGCGATTTTTAACACCTACAAGAAACCAAAGTGACTGAATAAAAAAACAATTCATCAATAATGTAAACTATGCAAAAATAATGCTAATTTCTTCTCTGACATCAATCTGTATGGCAGAAAAAGTAAGTCTCCATTTTATTGAGGAAATCATATAAACGATTAGGCAAATAAAAGTGGCAGAATATCTACCCGTATACTCAATTCCTTTAGCGCAATATTTAAAAAACTGTTTTAATACAAGACAGCAGCACCTACATAAACTAAGCCAGTAATACATTCCTTGTATACAAATTTTTATCTTTTTTTTTAATGCCTTTTTGTTCCCTTACTTTTTATGTGGTTATTTTTTTTTTACTAATATCTGATTTGTAACCCTTTTCATTGGTGTTGATTTTATGGTTGTAATCATGGACATACTGTTAGTACGTCTATGTTGTAATCAGGATCATCCAGTATGATGACTAATATAAACTCACCCAATAGATTCAATGGGTACGGACCTTCACTATACAGAATCTCGGGTTTATGGTCTCTGAATATCATGTGCACAGGACCCCATGGTTTAAAATTGTGATCAATGTCTAGCCTCTTGCGTATGTCTTTAAACTGATAATAATTATAAAACCAGCCTGGAAATAAAAACAAATACGTCAGATTGGAATGTGATGGCGCTGTTCAATGGGTCTATTCAATGGTTTGCTCTTGTCCAGTTTCATTTCAATTATTAAGATAACAACCGAATTATTGCGATTTATTCTGATCAACAATTAATGAGAATATTGTTCACATGAAATAAGGGCTTCGACACTGCTAAATAAAAGTTCATTTGATCAACTACACAAATATTTCATTCAAAACATCAAGGAGTTTAGTTCACTTAGTTCAAATATTAATTTGAGCCAAAAAAGACAAATAAGGCTATTTTCTGATAGCCATCATCTCAACAATGAAATGTCAATATTTAAACAAAATAATGATAAAGCGCGGTCGTCGTCACGCTGCGCATGTGCGACATTTGAGTTGATAAACATTGATTTTCCCACAACCCAATTCGCTCTTCAAATGGAAATCACAAGTATGAGGTTTGACCTGGGCGCGACTTGCACTGATTACCGCCGGTGACTCCTTGATACCTTCGAATAACATGAAAATTACTAATTGAAAGCTTGGAAACGTCCCAATTCGTACTCGTGATCTGCCAAAAGACAAAGTCACCCTCTTTGTTTA